ATGTCTGAAAGGAGCTTCCTCGAGAACCAACTCACTCCAAGTTGAACAGAACCCTCCAACCAGCATCACCCTGCAGCCTTGATGGATGGAATCCATGATGACTTGGCATCAGTGTCGAAACATCTGAATTTCTGTAAGTCAGAGAGAGACAAAGAGAGAGAGAGAGCATTATCCCCTATTGGACTGGCATGGCTTTGCTGGCCCTGAATCTATAAGTGACGACGGAGCGGTGGAGAGAAGAAAGAGGAAAACAGTGGAGACAGATCAGGACACAGCGACTCAGTGTGTGCCATGAGGACATTATGAAGATCAGACCACAGGTCAGTCTCGCTCTTCTTCTCTCGCTTTATTAGGGTCCGAGCACACCAGTGCAAGGACCCTATTGTAACCGTTGTGATTGTTATTATTATTTATTATTTATTATTATTAGGGTCCACTTGCATATAAATAGGGTCTACTTGCATATAAAAACAGACCATGTGCACATGTTAACAAACAAAAACCAGCTGTGCTAGGTGGACAGATGATCTGGATGGAACAATCATATAATGTAGAGAAACGGGGATGATTCTCTGTGTTTAAGCGCAGTTATGGGTCCGTGCTTTGAATCCGCTGCTTCACCGATTGTTTTCATGCGTTGGTGGTATAGTGGTGAGCATAGCTGCTTCCCAAGCAGTTGACCCGGGTTCGATTCCCGGCCAACGCAATTCTTTTTGGCGGTGGTTAAGGCTGTGGGGTATCGATGTTGCTGACCCTTCGATTTTCGAAATGACATTTTCCCCCAACGTGATAAACAGGGTATATATATTTAAAAAATAAAAACAAACTAACAAAAAAAAAAACCAAGAAAAAAACGAACGAGACGCTAAAGAAAAGACAGCAGGACTTCAGAAAAGATAAAATGTAAACAAAGAAAACATCAGAAAAGACAACAAAATAACTCAAAAGAGCAACTAGAAAGCATTGCAAAAGACAGTAAAACCTTTAAAAAGATAGGCAAAAATAACGCTTTGAAAAAGACAAATATTAAAATGAACAACAACAAAATATTAAAGTGAGCAACAACAAAATATTAAAGAAGACATTTTGAAATATTAGATAGGTGTTTGTCTGCACAGGTGGGTTTTGAAAAGCCTTTTAAACTGACTCAGCTGTTCTGACTGTCAGGGGGACTGTCAGCCTGTTCAGCCTGTGGGTCCACATTGTGGGGGTTGAAAGAGTAGAAACACGGTTCCCTTTTGTTTTAAGCCTGAACTGTGAAGTTTTTTGTAAAACGTTTAAATGTAACTTATTTTTTAACAGATTTAAAAAAATTATAATTATTTCATGGAGCGAGGTACAGAATAAGAAAAGTGAGTTGGTGACAGAAGTTTGACCGGAGAGCAGTCGGACCTCTTACAGTGTGACACCGGTCTGTTTAAGCCGGTGCGGAAGTCGCTGCAGTCGCTGCTACAGTCGGTAGAAGGTCGGTCGGTTCTCCGGTGAATTTTAACGCCACACTTTTTAAACCGAACCGGTTGGACCGGTTGTTGTTAGTCACTGAAACTCAGCTGGGTGTTTTATCGTCTACCGCTGCCCGGCTTCGGACCACCGTGACATTCGTGACTTTACTCGGCGGGTACAGTAACGTCCAGCACCGACACGTAGCGGCCGGTTTGTTTTTAAACGGCTCCGTCCTCCGCCCTGATGTCCGGCTCCAAGTGCACACGGCTGAGCGGGGCTCTGGTGAAGCAGCTGCTGGAGTCCGTGGACAGCATCCTGTTCGACTGTGATGGGGTCATCTGGCGGGGGGACCAGGCCATCCCCGGAGCCCCGCAGGTCATCAACCTGCTCAAGGAGAGCGGCAAGAAGGTGTTCTTCGTCACCAACAACAGCACCAAGACCAGGAAGATGTACGCGGAGAAGATGACCGCGCTGGGCTTCAACGTGACGGAGGATGAGGTGTTCGGCACCGCGTACTGCTCCGCCATGTACCTGAAGACGGTCTGCAAAGTGGACGGGAAGGTGTACCTGATAGGAAGCAACGCCATGAGGCAGGAGCTGGAGGCGGTGGGCATCCAGCAGACCGGGGTGGGACCGGACCCCGTCACCGGGAAGCAGGCCGACTGGGCCAACGTGCCCCTGGACCCCGAGGTGAAGGCGGTGGTGGTGGGCTTCGACGAACACTTCAGCTACATGAAGCTGAACCGAGCCCTGCAGTACCTGATCCAGCAGGGCTGTCTGTTCGTGGGGACCAACAGGGACACCAGGCTGCCTCTGGAGGGAGGGAAGGCTGTGCCAGGTACACACACACCTCACATAAGCAGATTAACACTGTGTGCAGACTTACTGTCACTTAAGGCCACAGTGTCAGGTTGGCCCGGTGTTTAAAAGATTTTCACAACTGTAGAGAGAAGTTGTCACTGATCACACACTGCTGGTTAAAGACAAAATCTAGTCTGTATACAGTGGTGTTAGATCTGGACCTGTGGTTTGGGTACAAAAGGCAACAAAACCTTCCTGCTTTCTTGCATTTCTATAACTAGAATAATACTTTTATAAATCAGACTGTGTTGTTCAAACTCTTTAGCATTTGTAGAGCAACGTAGTCCAAGGCTCATCAGCCTCCATACCATGGTGTTAGATGTCAACCTGGTCAAATGTGGTCTAGATCCCCAAGAAAAGTGAAATTCATGTTCAAATCAGAGACCGATTTAAACACCCTGCAGCCTTTGTATTACAATCTAGTACAGATTTCACCCATCTACATGTAGTGGTTTAAGCTCTAAACCTGCTGAATGTGGTCTATATGCTGCAGAAGTAGTATTTTCACATTTAGAATGAGGCTTTTACGAATCAGAAACTGTGTATGAAAGATTCTATCATCTCTGTAGTATAATACAGGCCAGCCTTGACTAGTCTATATGTAGTGGTTTTAGATCTGGACCTTGGCTAATGTGGTCAAGATACAAGACAGCAATGGAATCTAATCCAGATTTGACCCGTCTCCTATCCAGTGGTTTTAGTTTTGGGCCAAAAACATTGAAATCTGTAAAAAAAAAAAATTTGCATGTTCACAAATAGAATGAAGCTTTTCACAAATCAGAGACAGTGTTTTAAAGACTCCAGCCTCTCAAGGACAATCTAGTCCAGATTTGACCTGTCAAGCTGTAGTGGTTTTATATCTAGACTCAGTTTAGTGTGGTTACATACAACCTAAAGCAGTAGAATCTCAGTTTTCTTGCATTTTCACTAACAACAGTAAAGCCTGTGTGAAGGTGGAAAACCTGAGAATGGCTCACGTTGCTCTGCAAGTTAAGCTTCTCCTAACTTTTCCCTTAAATGCCAGATCGGAAGTCGCGAATGGGTATTGATGAAGCGAGGATGGAGGCAGGGCCAGAGAGCTGAGGCTTATCATGTTCCCTTATCATTTTCTGCTATTTGTTTATTTGTGTACTTCCTTGAAATACTTGGTCGAGGATACACAGAGGTTTTTTTAAGGTATGGCAATAGGTATGTAAAATATAATAAGTTCAATCCTCCTTCCTGTCTTTTGTTGTTCTGGAGGAACTTTGTTATTTCCCAAAATAGCCCTAATGATTTCAGTGAGACTTTAAAATGTTAAAAACAAAAGCAAAGATGTAAAACTTGCTCTAATCTGAGGGGTATAACAGTAAAAGTTCCCCTCACCCTCTGCCCCTCAGGTACAGGCTGCCTGCTGCAGTGTGTGGAGACGGCGGCCCAGTCTCAGGCCCAGACGGTGGGCAAACCCAACCACTTCATGTTCGACTGCGTGGCCTCCCAGTTCGGCGTGGAGCGCAACCGCTGCCTGATGGTCGGGGACCGCCTCGACACCGACATCATGCTGGGCTCCAACTGCGGCCTGAAGACCCTCCTCACCCTGACGGGGGTCAACACGGTGGCGGACGCCGAAGCCCACCAGAAGAGCGGCTGCGCGGAGAGGCAGGGGATGGTGCCGGATTATTACGTGGAGAGCATCGCGGACCTTCTTCCAGCTCTGCAGGGATGAGACTGAGAAGTGTGGCTACATGATACAACAGATAACCGCTTACACACCAGGGTCCACTATCTGTTAAAAAGGAATATTTTTTTATTTTATAAAGAGTAATATGATTAAAATCATCTCTATAAGAGTCACAACGGAGCAGTCAGCTGCTGTGTGACGGAGGAAACAAAGATTCTAGAGACACTATTCAGATTTTATTTGTCTTTTACTAAAATGGCTATTTTTAATATGATTTAAATGAATAATAATAACAGAAGAACAATAAGCTTCAGTATTGTTTTATATAAGTGTTAAAGAGGAAAAAAAACAGGTTAAGTGTATGTTCCTTTTTCAGGGAGAGCTGTGCACTCTACAAGCCTTTATTCTGTCTGTGATGCAATCTCCACTTAAGCAACTACAAGTCAAACTCAAAAAGGGAAATGAGCACATAACAAGTGTCAACAGTTTGGTAACACATGTTCAGGTTTACATCTGTTTCACAATCTATAAATAACAGGCCAAAAGGCACTGAACTGGTCAAACTTGAGCTTTCTGTGTTCTGTAATATATTCTAAAAACCTCAACAGAATGCGCTGATGCATGCACTGGGATTCAGGGGATGGTGCAATGGTGCCTGTCATGTACTTTACTGTGTGTTTCTGCAAATGCTAATTATTACTGAAACAGAATGACATTAATGTATTGACTTGGGAACAGTGTCTCTTCTGAAGCCACAATAAAACAAACCATTTTCACTGAGTCGACCTCACCTCTCTGTGGCTTTAAGTTGAACGTGAGCTTCTCTCTAAGTCCTTCCTGCGCTTTAGAGTCACCTTGGGCTGTCATCGTCGGCTGGACGCAGCAGCAGTCAGAATATCACCTCTCATCTGATGAGAGAGACTCTCCGAGCTGCGCCTGCCTCACCCCTTTGTCCATTGTCTGCAGCGGGGGAGTGCAGCCAGTTCCTCTCGTGTAAGAGTGTGTTTGAGTGAGTGAGTGAGGAGGAGGAAGGAAGAGGGGGGGGAAATGGAAAGATGGATCATGTTAAAGAGACGTATTAAGCCATAATAGGAAGAGAAGACATGAAAAGGGAGGAAATTGCAGGAAGACAAAACTTAGAAAAATTGAGTTTGGCAGGATTTTGTGTGACTTGTTTTGGGAGGGAAACGGTGAGAGTAGGGGAGGGGGGGGG